ATACATACATACATACATACATACATACATACATACATACATACATATATGTATATGGTAATGTGTATATATACATATATACAGACATATATTTGTACATGCATAGTCGAATACATATAATATTAATATAATGTTACTACCTCTACCTCAAGATACCTCAAGTCTAGAATCTACTGAATCTACGAATCATTCTTGCCGGTGAAACTTCTGCACCTCGTTCACTACAAAACCTTACTCGCCCCATCCCGCCCCCAAGTCAAAATGCACCACACCAGGTTGGCATTCGGATAGAAAGTCATCTCACTACACAGTGCAACACTTCAGTCAGGCTTCTGTCTGCAAAACTGAAACACCAGGACTCCGGCAAGCCAAATAAAGCGCTACCTGAACATTGCCGAAAGAACACTGCACTCGTGATTGGCGGCTTGCTTAAGTCTCGGGCCTGCCCGAAGCAATTTGCATGCTGCATCTGAGAGCCAGCTTGCAACAGCAGTTGGACCTCAGGCTTTCCAGCTCAAACTGCATCGGGCCCTAGAGTCTATAGAGATCTATTAGAGGGTAGGCTGCAGACTACTGCTCCATGACCACGTGCCGCAGCACGAGCCAATGGAGTTTCACCCCGGTCTGTCACAGCCTCAAGGAGTCGTTGGTCCTGGTCAACCCCACGATGCATAGTTTGATCAATTGAACTGTCAGAAAGTTGCCTCTTTGGAGGGCATCTCGTCAGACCTTGCAGTGACAGGCATCAGTGGCATCAAGTAATTAGCACATCCCCAAACTTACGCACAACAATCAAGCCCATGGCCCAGGCTCTTTGGTAGCGCCCCCCAGCAAGACAGCGGTGGCAACTGCCGATCCGGCTTCAGCGGCGAAGTGTAGAACACTACGTTGGTCCAACGTCAACGCGGCCTTGGTCTTCGTCAAAGCAAAGCGACGTTAAACATTGTTAAACAGAATGCGCTTCTGAACGTTTTTGGACGCTAAGCGCGACACAATTGTGAAAAAATAGAAAGCTAAAAATTCAAGGGAATCGTGCGAAAAAGCTCTAAATAGGCTCCAGGAACAAAAGGCCCTTTATCACCCCACCCCGCTGCACCAATGTAGGGGCAGCACAGGGTCAGCCTTCTGTGAGAGGAGCAGCTGGACCTGGGCTCACACAGCCCAAACATCTTGGGGCTCAAACTAGCAGGTGTATTGTACAGCATTGTACAGCTTGATGATTTTAAACGATGCTATATAAAATGTGCAAAGCCCACGGCAGCGTAGCACCTGTTTCTCATGGTTCGCACCTATATCGGCTGGTGGCCGTGGCTTTGGATCGAATGGATCGAAATGCTTGTCCAAAGGCAAGCCCTCCCAGGAGACTTGCAGAGAAACACTCGAGAAGCGCTTGCGAAATTGTGCCATTGCACACATGCAAGATAAGCAGGGAACCTCGGTCATAAAAAGTGCCAAGTAGCCCTCCACAAGTGCTTCAGCGTCTCTACTTGCTCCACATGGCACTGACTCAGACAGTCCGTCAGGGCGAGCCCCGTTTGCAAGCAAGTTTTGCGCAATTTCTTGAGCATGTGCATCTCCCTCCGCGTGCAGCAAAGTTCGGGCAGCTGCAGCTGTCCTGGCCATTGCTCGGAACTCGGCATCCCATGCACGGTGATCAACCCTGTCGTGGTGCAGTTTTACATGCACCAAGCCGGCACAGTCTTCGCAGTATTTGACGACAGTACTGTTCAACCAACGTCCAGGCTCATGTGCAACCAAGCCCTTGGTCTTGACGTATGCTCTAAAAAAACACCAGTTCTGCCGCTCACCTCGCCCATCAGAATTAACCTGCTTTAAAGCACAAGACCTAGCTGCAGTCCCGCCCAAATCTTCAGTCCATTCTGCCCTTCGCACCCCAATATCACTCAAGAGCCTCCAAGAATGCTCACACCCCAAGCCACGAACTCGGAATGATTGTAAGGACTCTTGGTAGCGCCGGATGGTAGGTGTCTCCTTCGGTTTCTCGGATGAGAGAATGGACTGGAACTCCTCAGCGGTGCTGAGGAAACCGTGTAATGACCTTTGTTGGGCCCAAAGCATACCACTCAGCGCTTGCCAGCCCGGTGTGCTTCTTAGCTCTGAACCGCCAGGCAGCTGCAACCACGGCAGAATTGCATCATGGACAACCCAGGCATCATCTGAATCAACATCACCAGTCCCTGCTTGCAGGCGGGAATGGAACTGATCCAAAAGCCGTTGCATGGCCCCAAGTGTCCAGGCAGGGGTGCCGAGCAGTGCATCTCCCAGCCGAGGGAGGCCGGCGAATGTAAAGGCCAATAGTTTTGCATTGCTCCAAGTTCCCAGTCCGCGAGGCCCGTTGGTTATTCGACCAATGAAGTGCAAAAGCTTATCGTGACGATGTCTGAGAGTGATGAACGCCCATGCTACCATGGCCAAATGTTGTCCATGAAAGTCATCACGCCGGCAGGTCTCAGCTGCAGCTGCCTCGAGCAAGTCTTCATTGTGCTCACCAGCAGATGCAAAAGCCCAAACTGTGTTTGACAAGTCCTGGTTGTTGAATTCATGTATTGTTCGAATTGACGTTGAAGCAAGGGCATCATAGATCGTCCGATCTTTTGCTAGCAAAGTTGTGAAAGCCCAAGCTGTTGTTGAGATATCTTGTGGAT